AAAAAAAAAAAAAAAAAAAAAGGAACTCAAGTGGCTTAAAGGAGTGAAATCCATAAATCGAATAGACATGCCTTTTTTAAATGTCTTTTAATTTTTAGATGATGTTTTTATGTACCAATTTCAGACTGTATTTTGGTTTTTAACTCTCCTTAAACCCATTCCTTAAAATTTCCAACGAATGGGTAGCTGGGGATAGAAAAAATTTAAACACATGCATTTGGATTTTCAAAGGAGATGGCTTTGAGCTGACTCTCTTCTGAATTACATAAATTTAAGTACTTTAAATGCATGTCTCCAAACCTCATAAAAAGAAAATACAGGTTTCCAAACAGTAACACAACCTTGTGATGATATAGAGTACAATACACAAAACAAGAGACAATTAAGGAGTCAGAAAATGGATAAAGAAAGAGAGAGAGAGTTAAAAAAATGGTTTCAAGAGAGTCGCTGAGGTGGTCCTTTCTAGTCAAAATCAAATTCTATGCCCTCTACTGCACGCCATTCCTTTGCACGAGTTAATCCCAAGAGATTCATCAATAACCAAACCAAAGTGAGAAGTTGTCCACCTTTGCTTACTTGCCGTACATGCACAATTGGTTTGCAACTAATGGCAGCATAACATACAAATTCTACCCAAACTCTGCTCATTAACTCCCACGGACAACCATCAGGCTCAGCGAGCAACGTTTTGGCAAGATAACAAGCAGCAGTTACCCTGGAAATATTATCTACTTCTTCCTCCTCTTCCATGTCTGTGACAATTTTCGTTAACTTCTTCACATCTCCTTTTTCTTTGTCCAATAGCGCGTCCAGATTTGAAATGAATGTTTCAGAGTTGAATCTCTTTTCATCTGGCCACTTCCAGATTTTAATGCCATGATATGCTCCCCGAAATACATCCTTCAATTTGTCAGCCGATAGGGTGGGTATCATACTGGGCTCCGCCACTAACAGGTAAAACATATAGTCTGAAAGTAACTTGCATATTTCCCGAGGATCAATACTGCCAGATGTAGAGGTAGGGCTTGGACAGTTACTTGGACCTCCTCTTCGGCAGCATTTTTTCCAGAGATCAATACTGAAACATGCAGAGGGAGAGCTTGGGCTGTTATTTGGACTTTCTCGTCGGTAGCATATTTCAGTGGCGATGTGCCACATTACAAGGCTTTCCATGTATTCGAACTTCTTGATGCTCCAATTGAGATCTATATTACCTTTAAGAATTCCACCATATCTCTCAGCACGAATAACCGTGCCATTTGCCTGTTCAATATCTGGAATAGTAATGGAACTCCGCAGTTGTGTAAAAATGAATTGCCACTCTTGGTCTGCTTTGAAATCTTTGGGAGGTGTGCATCCAATTCTTTTGATGACATCGAACAAACCCTTTATGCCAAGATAATCAACCAACTTGTTGAACCAAACTGGCCGACACTCCTCGAAATGATCTGTTATAAAATTTAATTGGCTAATAGAGTTAGACCACCTATGCCAGTTGACAAAAGGAGCACGCGTTATATCATACCACACGATGAGAAAAATGAATGAAATTAAATCCAATACCAAGGCCCCAATAAGCAACCCATAGGTTAACCATACATCAAACTCATCCAACTTGCAGTGCTTCTTAAGTATTGTGAATGACATCAAAGCTCCCAAGATGCAACCAAAGTGAACATAGCGACATAAGCTTCCAATACTGGAAGTGGTTACTCGTAACTTGGTATGAAGAAGATCATATAAGAGGCTTAGACTCATCTCTATTTTTTTAAGCACTTCATCTGGCTTTGAACGACATATTGTTAATACAATTCTACCCATTGTTTTTGAAGGCACGGGAGGACCTACAAGTAGGCTCTTGAGAATGCCAAACCCAGCCAATTCCCCTTCCGGATTTCTTACGTCGTGCTTCATTACTATAGGAATTGGATCTTGAAAGTAACCACAAAAGAAATTACCATACTCATGTATCCACCAATTTTCACCAAAATTGTCAATAGATGCAAGATAAAAGGAACGGGTCCGCTCGCCATATTTGATTATGCCTGAAATTAACACTAGGAAGGTTGGGAGCAATAGCTTGTTCTGAGGGAATGACTGAAGGATAACATAGATAGTGGAACCAACCTGTAAAAAAAGCCCAATTAAGTGCCTAATCCAGAATTCATTGTCCTCCAGAGAGAAGGAAGTAATGAGGTCCGGGCCACCAAGATGCAACAGAAGAAAGGGTGCCCAAAAGGTCAGGATATCTTCATTATGTTCAGCCCATAACATGAGTCCAATGGCAAATGTTGCAACCCAGTCTGCAAGCAAGTATGCCAACCAAATCATAACGACCCATTTGCCTCCTTTTGCTTTCCTCAACGGTGAAAACAGAGATAAGAAAGACTGGAGCAAGAGGCTTAGAATACTCAATCCTCTCACATTCCATGTATCCCATACCCTGTCGACGCTTTCAGACCTGAACAACACCATTTCTTTACTTGATTTTTCTTGCAAAAGCTTGTCCAACTTTACTTTATCCGCAGTTGCAGTATGATATCCAATTCAACCACAAACCTCCCAGATTGGATACCCTACATTAATAGAATTTAGTTTCAGCCCCTTGGAATATCCACCAAAAATCAACTAGAAATTTAGAATTAGATAGAGTCTATATATATATATATATATATATACATATATGGAAAAGTATTTGTCCGTTTAATTTTTAAAAATTTAAGAAAAAATACTTTAAAAATTAAGAAAAAAATTCTTTTAAAAATACTTTAACAAGTGATACAGTTTCGGCTTGGGGAAAAAATTCAATTAATGGTTAGTAATAGCTAGGAAGCAACTCAAATTCGAATATGAACTTTAACCTGGGATTTGGCAAAAAGAATTGATTTTTTTTTTTTTTTTGTACATCTAATAATAATGAATTATAGAAGGAAAAATAACATTTTTCTTTTTTTAAATCTCTTTTCACTTGATTCAAAATTTGAATTTGGAATCTCTAAGTTAGAATATTAAATTCTTAACTATTGAACCACTCTTTTGGAGTTGGCAAAAAAGATTGATAAATAGAGAGAAAACACACAAGATTCAAACTTGAATGCGTTTTGAAATTCATTCAAGCCGGCCAGCCCAATGCTATGTGATAAGTGATAACGGGATAATGTACTTCGGTGTACCTATGAGATAAAAAGGAAGTAAAGTGTCTTTCAATGGCAATATTTGTTTTTGGTGCCAAATCTTTTGATATTTGAAAATCACATTGAGCCTCAAATAATTAGAATTGAGTCAAGTTATATCACATAAAGAAAAGTCATTTCAGTTTCTATTCTTTTATTTATAATACTCAAATTCAAGATTTGATTTAAAAATAACCGAGTTTCACTCATACTAATAAGTTGTGGGTTTCAATGGTAGTATTACTTTCATTTAATCCGTTCTCTTCTTCATACCTTTGTACTTCTTCTTCTTCTTCTTTTTTTTTTTTATAAAGCCCACCTGCACCCGAGTGTGATACGTTAAGGAAAAATTCAAATGAGGTTTTTTATGGAGTGGGTGTGGGGATAGGTGTAACTTTATAAAATCTCTCTTTGTTAGGTAGGAGATAGTTTTGGAATTGTGTTGAGGATGGGGTTCCCTTGTGAGTTGAGTGAGAGTTGTTTGAAGAAAATTTGTCCCATATTGAAAACAAGGCAAATTAAGAGCCTAAGTGGGTTAAATAAGTAAAAACCATAAATTATGGATATGTCTCTTGGTTTCTACATGGTATTTCTACATTTGACAGGGGAAGAAAAAGAAAATCGGAGATAATACATGAACTGGTTAGAGGTGGGGGAGAATGGAGCTGAAGAAAAACGAGGGAGGGGTTGAATTTGTGTTTTCTATATATATATATATATTTTTTTGGATTTTATATATTTAAATATATTAGATTTTGACCAAAAAAAAAAGATATCAGGTGGTATTTTTTATCCAAGTCAGCTGGTTTTTTGATCCAAGTTTGTACATATCATCGTATAGTCATCCTTTGTTAATGGGCATCAAAGAGACGCACAGAAGATGATGTTATGGATAACAGAAAGGATTTGCGGACTTCAAGTAGTAGAGGGGCTGATATGCCACAACAAGTTAAGTAGAAAGGCTGAATTACATCTTCTGCCTGTCATGATGTGCTGGATCCAAACTTTTCCACACGCTTTTTTGTTTTTATTTGTTTTATAAGTTTCTATCATATTCCTTAAAGGTTAAAATAAAAATATAATAAATATATTTTTTATAATTAATTTATATAAAAATAACAAAAATAGATTTAAATTTTGTTAATTATTCATGTAATCTCTCCATTCATTTTTAATAGATCTAGTTTTTTTGTCTAATAAAATAAAGATATAATAATTAATTGATAAAATTTCATATTTATCCTTAATTAAGTAATATTTAAATAAGATTTTTTATTTAGTATATATTATAATTATCTTTTAAAATTAACGTAAAATAGAAATAAACATAAATGACTTCTAAAAAGAAAAAATAAACAATTAAATTTGAACACTCGAAAGTCTAAATAAGAAATTAGACTTATTAAAAATAAACAGATGAAATATTTTATTAAATTTTTATGTGAAATTATTGTCTAAAAAATTAAAATTAAAATTAAAATAACTAGTTTCAATTTAAATAACTAGGTTCATACCCCATTAGGCACGTTTGCCATTAATTTAAATAACATGTTTTCTCCACGCTATTGCATACACCTACATTCCATATTATCTCCTGCTATATAGAAGATGTGATCAAGAAAAAGTGGAAGACTTTTACCCGGATGTGCTTCACGCCACCTTCCCAAATGTCTTTATCTCTCTTTTTTCTGTTATGGACTTTTCAAGTTTTGCAGTCCAACTTTTCCACACGCTGTATGTACTAGGTGGCAAGATAGATCTTTCCTGATTGAATCATATACGAAAATAAAAATGTCCAGTTTTAAATAGAGGAAAATTGTAAACTTACTTTTTGAATATTATATGTCAAGCATATACGAAGAAATTACTATAAAGTGCCCAACTGTAAGCTTGGACTAGGACTTCAATATTATGCTACAACACTCTTAATAACAGCCCCATGGAATACGATTTTTCCCTCAATTTTTTTAAACTCATTCTATAAAAATGGATGAGAATAACAAATTATTTATTTATTGATGAGAGATGACTAAATAATATAATTGCCTTAGCACACACAAACTGAACACAAAGCACATTAGAGATAGAAGAAGTAAACTCTCTATTCCAGTAATACTAGTAGATATTGTGGAAGGCCAGGCACCCTATCATTAAAAATGTTAGGATGTCCAATTATAATCATTTAAATATTATTATAAATTAATAATGCTAGTAGACATTGAGAAAAGGGGATAGTGTTTAACATATGAAGTATTATTGTAAATTAATTATTTCTAATACATTTAAATATTAGATTCAATATTGAATGGAAATTTTTATTTATATATTTAATTCTTTTTAATTTTCCACGCTCTTTATGTGTCATATCTCAAATTTTTAAAAAGTAAGGTATATAAAAACTAAAATTTCAAAATTAACCTTAACCCTCCTTGTTCATCATTCAATCTTTTCCTATACAGACATCCCAAATCAAGAAAAAATAGATACCAGATCAACAATTTCATATAATTAAAGATCTAAACAAAAAAATGATAGCAACATAGCAATACAAATCTGGGTTTTCACGGACAATTTCACATAATCAAATATCTAAACAAAAAAATAATAGCAACATAGCAATATAAATCTAGGTTTCGTGAACAATTCCACATAATCAAATATCTAAACATAAAAATGATAGCAACATAGCAACACACGAGGAACCTAGGGGCCTGGGTTCACAACGAACCCCAACGCCTGGGTTTGCAACCAACCCCGGCGCTTAGGTTTGTTGCGAACCCAGACACAACCAAATCTGATTTCTAGAAGGCAAAGGTGTAAAAAAAAAAAAAAAACAGCCAGAGGAAGGAGAGGATAAGATAAAAGAAGATGGGGGCAAATTAATAATTAAAGTCAAGTACTTTAATCACAAAATAACCTTTAAAATATTTTAAATGACAATTATGTAATTAAATTATTTTTAAGGTTATATTAGACAAAAATTTGGCCATATATATCATCAATTTTTGCCAGATGAAATTATCACGTAATTTAAGTAAAGAAAAAAAAAATTTTTATTAATTAACTTGTCACATCAATCAAAACTTAACAAAGAGATTAAAAAGGGATTGAAAAGAGATTGGATTTCAAACTTTAAGGACCAAAAGAGGATTTTTTTAGTATAGGAACTAAAAAGCAGCTTTTTCCTATAGTAGAGGGACCAAAAGGGTATTTAACCTTTTTTTGGGTGATTTTTCCATATTTGAGAAGATATCTATTATAGCATTGAGGAAGGTGTTATGCTTATATATTTTTACCAACAAAAAATATCACCATATAATTGTTAATAAAACATCAAAAAGTACAAACTGTAGTAGAGAAGAAATGGAGCTAAATCAAAATGCTCACCAGAGACAAAACTTGACATACAGGAATCCAAGTGTAGATGACCAAAGAAGTTGTTTAATCTAAAATGACTAATAGCGGGAATCATTAGTATTGAATTCTTTACTTAACAATGTTTTTCAATTCTATTTTTGTAACCCATTGGACCCGTCTGCCATTGATTACCTCACCATCTCGGATGGGACACTGAACATGTTTTTTCCACACCCCCTTGCATACGCATACATGAAATTTCCATTTTCCTTTTCCTTTCCTTTCAATTGTTTTCAATGAATTATTTTGTATTGAATTATTCTTGACTTTTCAACCTTTTGTTTTACTATCTTTTACACGCTTTAGTGTTAAGTAATAATGTTAGTGCTCTATATATAGTCCATGCCCTGCACAGATTATAAATAAAAATTTACTTGAATTAATATTGCATAATTTAAAAATATTTGAGATGGAATGTAAATTTCATAGAATTTTTTTCTTTGATCTGCAAATCTCAAAGAAATATAAACAACAAAACATGTGAACAAAAACTTGAGCTTCATCCACTAATTATTTTTGCCATAAACTTCTCCAATAACTCAATCAGATAGGACTTAACACGCATTTCTTCACCCCATTGGATACGGTTACTATAATCTTTTTCTTCACTTTGAAATTTCTTTAACTCTCTTTTTTGGTTATGGAGTCATTAAGTTTTGCAAAATAGATGCTAGACATGCCTTTTTCCACATCCCATTGCATACGCCTATATGAAATCTCCTTTTTCCATTTCCTTTGCTTTCAATTGTTTTCTATGAATTATTTCATATCCAATTATTCTTGACTTTCAACCTTATGTTCTATATCTTCCACACGCTTTAATACTAACCAATAATGTCCATATACTCGGTCCTCTTATCTTCCACGAGGAGCAGGGAATGCGGATGGCTAAAATGATTGAGCTCCATCGATTTTTCTTTCTGCAAATTAGAAGTCTTTCCGTTTGGTTTGGGTGGTGACTGAGGAGCAAGTAAACGGGGGTCAACTTGTACCGACAAAAACAATTGAAGTTGATTATTGCAACATTTTACAAACTTTGGCCCATTTCAGGTCATGGCTGATTCTGCCTTCCATCTTACGTTTAAAATTAAATAAAGGTTTTCCACTCACGTGATTCTATCTAAGTGTTTATTATATTTTTTAATGATTAAGTTATATAAAAATAACAAATTTTAATTTAATTTTAATAATTAATCAATTA